CAACCATTAGCTGAATGTACTATCAATAAAATCCTGGGTCACAAGTACTCACCTTAATATTTAAAAAAAAAAAAAATTTTAAAATCATATATATGTATATAATTTTTAAATTCTAATACATACTAGAATGTAACTTTGGTTTCTTTTTACTGTATATCAGAACCTATTTCTATGTAAGGTCTTTTCGATTTGTATAGTTTGAACTTTTGCCTAATTAATAGGTTTTCTTCTTATTAATAATACTTCTTTTAAGTTTATAATATAATTTTTATAGATTAGTTCTTTTTTATTATTTGTTTTTATAAATCTTTTTTCATTATCTTTTTCTTAATTTCTATTTCTTTTCTCTTCTCTACAAGAAAACATTATCAGATAGATGGTATCCTACTGTAAGGCATGGTTTTAGCAAGGCCAACAACCACTAACTATAGTTTTGAAACTAAATCTTAAGAAAGTTTAGAAACCAATAATTAGGAAAATGGTTTACTATGACGGGTCATATTTGGACATTTATAGTCAGATAAGTTTTATTTGTGGATAATCGATTTAAATGTATTTTGTTTAAAACATTACATAGATTTAGCAAATAAAGCAAGATTTCTTAAGAAAAAAAATTTAGTTCAAACCAGATTCAAAATAGATTAAAATAAATCTAAATAAAAAATTATTAAATAACCCTGAAGCAAAACCTGGGTCTAAAAACTAGAAACTACAAATTTAAATTATAAAATATTCGAGACCTAGCCCCCAGAGCAAAGCCCGGGCCTAAAAGCTAGTCATAAATAATGCCAAATAAATATTTTTTTCACACAATTTTTAATTTTTATTTGGGCAATGCAATTCTTTGTACATCCGTTAATCTATATTGTAAAAGAGTTCCACCATCGACTACAAGCTCAATGCCAGATACCCAACTGCCAGCACGCGAAGCTAAGTATAATACCGCTCCAGCCATGTCTAACTCACCTCCAAAACGACCTAAATCAAATAAAATTTTATATAAATTTTGAGTAATAAAAGTAATATAATTATAGTGGACAATATTTAATGTTTACTAATTACCCTGAGGAATATCACCAAGACTTATATCATCAAGATCAGCTGATCTAGACGTTACAGGAGTTATACCAGGAACCAAGACATTTACATTTATTCCTCGTGGACTAATCAAACAAATATATATATTTAAATTTTTCGATATGAATAAATAAAGCTTCAAGAAAACAATTTCATACGTAAGATGCACAGCTAAATTCTTTGAAACGCTATGTACGGCAGATTTGGATGAATTATAAGGTAGGGAAGATAATCCAACTGCTTGCATTACTTTGAGCTCACCCTCACCGATACCTGATCACGTAAATTTGTTAATATGTGTCATAATTATCGTCATCGTTATGAAAGAATATAATGTAACCATTTAAGACTGACAATACCAAGAATGCTTCCGGTTACGATAACTCTTGATGGATCAACCAGTTTTTTACTGGCCTTTTCGAGTAATGGTAAAAAACTAGTATATCAATATATAAATCCTTAGCGCGTTAGCAGTAGCTAGATCAATATGTGTTGCCATAAACCTGTACAAAAAATATATGAAATTACTTACGCCATCGTTAAATAGAAAACACATTTAACATTTAAGCTATAGACTTTATCCCATGCATCTTCAGGAATATCTGTCAAATCAGACTCATGCCAAATAGCAGAATTATTCACAAGAATATCGAGTTTATCATTTCCTAAATTTTTGAAATCAGTCACCAATTTTTCGCAAGCAGCTTTTGAATCCAAATTCGCTTCAATACTAAAACATTTTCCGGAACCCATTTCTGTTAATTCATTTGCAACTTTTTTTTTTTTTTTAAAAAAAAAAAGTATAATTATTATGAATAGAAAGTTTGATTTATTTTTTTGTGTCAGTTTATAATTCGAATTCTAGAAAATTATTATTATAATATACCGTTATCAAGGTTCGTTTTATCCCTTGAAACAGCTGTTTTATTCCTTGAAGCGATATAAACTATTGCACCATTCTTCACGAATGCTTTTGCAATCATTTTACCAATTCCAGTACCTCCACCTGTAATTAACGCTACTTTATCCTTTACCGAGAACAAATTTGAGACTAATAGATCGTCAGACATTTTTGAGGAATGTGGATGTATCTTTGAATGAAATTTTTATGTATCTTTGAATAAAATATTCATTCTTTTATAGATACGCAATGACAAAGATTTGAAATTAAGTTACACAACTGTACATCGATACGTATATATATATTTTTATGTAGAGATCACCCGGATCAGCCCGAACAAAAAAAGCGAAAAATATAAAAAAAACGGCCCTCTTCATGCACTAAGTAAAAGTGCCAGAAATGCGATTTTACTTAATATAAAACATTTCCAACTATCCAAATCTGAAGTTTCACAACATTTTACAGTATATCGGAAGTATAATTCTTTCAAAATGATAACGTTACCAAATGAATAATTTTCAATCTGATATTAAAAGTTTATTTTCATGCCTTCTTATAGATTGTCAATGGTGTAAAATTATTGTGTTGTGAACCTTTAAGTTATGTGTGAACCTTTAAATTATGCGCTTGATAAAAGAATTATAAGAATATATCTTTTAGTGTTAAATGCTGAAGAATTGACCCCTTTAAAATTATTCTTCCAAATTATCCAAGACCATTGTTTGAGTACGAAAACTATACTACATCTGTTGATTTTAATTTGACCTATGGAGTAAATGATATTATTTGGGAAGAGAACTAAAATATTTCGAAAAAAATGATAAACTAGTAAATGCTATAAACCGCTTTTTAGTTGCTATGTTTCTACTAGCAAGTAAAAAATCTTAAACATTTAACACTTGAAGATACTATTAATAAAACTATATTAGGTGCACTTTGCAAGAATATTACGCTATTTTTTTTGAATTTTCATAATAAATATTGTATTAAAGAAATAAATACATTAGCAGATGCACTTTGCAAAAACATCGCGCTGACTTCTTTGGATCTTTCAATTAATAATATTGGACCAAAAGGAGGAAAAGCATTAGCAGATGCACTTTGCAAGAATACTACCTTAACGTCTTTAGACATAAGTAATAATGGTATTGAATCAGAAGGAAGAAAGCATTCGCAAATGCACTTTGTAAGAATAATACTCTGAAAGTATCGAATATTATTGATAATGGCATTTATTCTTTTATGGATAATGACATTACTAGTAAGTTTATTATAGAATCCAATAATTTAAATATTACAATACATACGTAGTATAAATATAAGTGTAAACATAATTCTTGTACGATAATACAGTCAAATTACAACATGCAATCAGAATCAAGATTTTAGGTATTAACATCTAACTCGATACACTTTACACTTTATTCACTACGTTACTGGTATAATTTAATATCTATAATTGAATACAAATTTAAATTAATAAATAAGATTATTAATATTTTTCGGTAATACTTGTATTAGGTAATAAAAGAACCAACAAATATTCACTACAAATATGATAGACTTTTTTGAAATTCGGCTGTTACGTCACTATGATTATAGTTAATAATAGCTTGCTAGAAAAAAATGGAAGGAAATATTAGGCTTGCATATTATTAACTTAAAGGGTCACAAACGGTCATAATGAACTTGTTGTTTATAAAAAATAAGGTATAAAATAAGTTATTCTTGTTATTTTTAAGATTTTAGGATAAAGTAAAACACATTGACTTCTCAAAGTTGGACATGTTGTCTGTCCTTTTTTCTATTTATTTTTTTGTGCAACCTGTAGTCTGCAGATTAAATATTATAAACTTACCATTAACTTTCTTCACGCAAGAGTTATCATAGAGAAAGGTAGTTTGCTTCAATTTCGGAAGAGAACATTGTTTTATGATAGACCAAAATTGATAAAGTTTTTTATCATTAAGACTTTCTGAATTTTTGTAAATTAGCTTTTAAATTCATTGAGTTCCGAAAGTCCATCAACTTGCCTTAGAAATAATCCTAACAACGCAAGTATATTATTATGTTAAATTGCTTAAATTAAAAGAGTATCGAATATTAAAATTCTTGCTGGTGAGCCAATAAAAAAAACTTGCGTCATGCTGAGATGTTAATTGGTGGCGCAGATCTTCTGAACTACGAATCAGATTTCAAGATTTAGATGTAAGCTAACACGATCAGGAAGATTCGAAGAACGTTCGTTCTGCACATAGCTCAAAATTTAGCATAAGAAACCACTTTTTGTGCTCTAACAAAAAGTTTTCGTTGACCAATTTTACTATATAAACTACCCCCTTAGATCCTACCACCTAGATTCTAAATTTGGCCCTAACCTTAACGAATTTTAAGAATTTAGTTTTCGCCGCCAACCTTGTACACACATTTACAATATGCGATGTTAAGTGGTCTTAAGATCCTCTAATTGCCTAATTTACGTCGATTCAAATGCTATTATAACATTAGAATGGACTCAGGTAACTATAATTCACAATGATGATGCTCGACTCATGTAACTATAATTCACAATAATGATGCTCGTTTACTCTTACTATTGTTCTATACATTAAATTTCTAACTAGTTCAAGACCGGACTTTTTAAGGCTTAACCATGATTGGGCCAGACCAGACTTTTAGCATCCCTAAAGCTATATCAAATCACAATCAAGAATAAATGAACTTTGAAATGAATATAATTATATTTGAAACTAGCGAGTTGATAGATTTACTTGTAAGCGCTTTGATCTTATTAAAAGCCCACAATTTATCCTACGACAAGAGAAATGGCACAAAACCTATTAAACCGAATTTTATAGTAAATGGGGCGTCATCTAGTGATGTCAGCTAATTTTAATAAGCAAAATAGTTTTTGCGCAAAAATAGTTTAATTAAATTAGTATTTGAAATTCTAAAATATATATGTACAGCGTTGCTTCTAGAGATAGTGCTCATAGATATAATCAAGATTGACGTAATTAATATAAAAAAATTTAAATTCGTAATTGTTAGAATAATGAATCTTTGAATTCGAATATATCGAACTTTTCATTCACATGGCTAAAGAATCATCAAATTTATTTTCAAATGTATTAATACATTTTTTGAAACGTTGAACGACCATGAGAGCAAATGCAAATTTGGAGTATTATATTACTAGATCAAGCTAATGAATCAAATAATACAAATAATACGTTCATAATTTCAGTAACAATTGATATTAATAATATATTATTCTGCTCCAATGGTCAATTTCAAGTTAACGGCCAGCAAATAGCAGTATTGTAGAAAACCATAATTGGCTTGGAAATATGGATTATAATACGGAAGACTTGATAAATCGAATGTTTGTTAAAGTTAAATATCAGTAATAGGGGTTCAAAATTAAAATCAGAGAATCTTAATTTATCTTTCCGATTTATGATTCAACATAATAAAAATACAATTAAAAAAATCCAATATAATATTAAGCATCAAAAAATCTGGAACCGAAAAAATTGGGTGATGCCCATTTCGCCAACAATCACTTCAACGACAGCCTATTTCACCGACAGTTATTTCACCGACAAAGCCATTCTGGTCATTTTCGTTAGGGTCAGTTAGAATTAGAGTTAATGTTAGTGCAAACTCTAAAAAAAAACTAGTCGGTCAAATGGGCTGTCGGTGAATTGACACGTACCCAATTTTATTATATTTTGTTATATTTGGGATTTAGGATTTGGGTGGGATTTTGAAATTTTTAGTTTTGCCAGCATGTATAAAATTATACACAGATCAGATGGAATGGTAAACCCATACTAAAATTAATACTATCATATATCATTAAAAACCAAATCGATAAAGAAATAAAGATGTTGAGGTATAAATATGAAAGAATGATCGGGCAAAGGAAACCCTGTTTAAATATTTGACACTAGACGTATATTGTTACATAATGATGAAAAATTAACTAATTAATCACATGTATCAACAATCTTATGCATTTATATAATTACAAGATTTAAGATAAAAAAAAATGTAAGAACCTAATCTTGAGACAAATAGATAACGTATTTATTTCAAATGAGCGATGTATAAACCTTATTTCATTTTCTGATAAACTTGAAATGATGATTTTTGTCATTGAAAAGTTTATTTATTCCGTTAAATGGAAGTCTTTAAACGCCCCACTTCATTTTCCGATTTCAAAATTTTGATACGCAAATAAGGTTTTTTAAACACCCATTTATTCCATTTTTTTTTTTTAATTCTGAAACAGATTTTTTTCTGTAAGTTATTACAATCCTGAATTAAAACTAAGTCGACTAAATGTGGCTAACCTCTCTAGCGTAACTGAGTTTAAATGTCTCCAAAAAAAAAAAATCCTATATTCTGCAAATTATTTGTTACTATTACATCATTTGCATTGTAACCGTACAACGTAATGTTTAAATGAATGAAGCATTTTCTTATAAATAATTTCTTTTCCCTAAGCAGTTCTTATAAATAATTTCTTTTCCCTAAGTAGTTTGTAATTGCTAAATATATATACACTATTGGTAAAAGTTAATATTAAAAATATCTAATGAAGCAATAAAGTAATGGACTAGAGCAGGAGAAATTCCAAGTAGAATAAAATAATATCAACCCGGATAATAAATAGTTATTTATGCAATAATAAAATTATTTAAATAACACTCGTATGTACGTACTTCATCTTTGATAAAATATCTAGTAATCTTTATCGTTGTTAGATTTTTTTTCATTGTATATCTCACTAGCGCACATTTTTCTTTGTACTAAATTTTTTGTGATCGAAAACTTTTCAATACTTAGGTATTTCTCCCGATATTATATTATTAACAATTAGAACGATAAGAAATAAGCAAAAAATCCCAATACGTTAGACTGCCTTTAAATTTAAACTCAGCAACTCGTGCAAATTTCATTGTTGCATGATCAATATCTCATAAACAAAATAAGCATTGCGACCAGTCGCGAACCGATTATTAGAATTGGATCATGAAATATTCCAAATAAGTACCTACTTTATCATAATACCTAATCTCTCTTGAGGGCCAAAATTTTAATTCAATACATTAAAGGCATATAGTATAAAAAAAATTTAATTTGTTGTTTGATTGTTTGATTATTATGTGGATTTATGTATACTCTACTTTTGTTATCACAGAGTTATTAGGCTGAGAAATTCTCATCTGTTATAATAAATATCCACTATAGCATATATTTTATAGTAAGAAATCTGGGCCCATTATAACGAGGGTAGAATACATACTATTAATTTTATTTTTAGTATTAACTAATTTGAATAAGGCAAAGATGATTAAGTTTTGAACAAGCCCAATTAAAATACATCCAAATATGAAAAATATGATTTGGATATCCATTCTTGATTGTACCCATTTTAATATTTGTTAAGAGCTTACTTTAATAGTAATGAGCTGCTATTTGTATACCACAGTGGCATTTGTGGTATTATCATTAAAATCGCGATTTCATTTCATTTTTTTAAAGTGAATTCAACAAATAATTTCGTTTGGTCTCTGGTAATTACTAAATTATCAACTTGATAAAAAAATAGATATGTAAAAGCATAGAATAATTGCAAAAATATGGATAATAAAATTTAATATTCTTGTTCATAGATAATGATGAAAAATAAAACTGATCTTGAATTTATACATATATAGCAATAAGAATTGCCTATTCATTGAAAAGATAGTTAAAACGTATTTCATTCATGATAGTTATGTTATTTTTTGAAAATTTATGTAGAACCCATTATCTTGACGAATTCTTCATAATTGATCTGTCCGTCACCATCAAGATCGGCTTCACGGAACTATGCAAATTAATGCAAATAAATGTTATATTATACATCAAATAATATCTATATAACCAGATATTCTTATTAAAATGATTAGGACTTACCATTTCATCAATCTCCCCTTGTGTAAGTTTCTCTCCAAGATTACTCATTAAGGCTCTCAATTCATCTTTAGAAATGAACCCGTTGCTATCTTTATCAAAAACCTTGAAAGCTTCTCTCATTTCTTCCTCATTATCACCATCATCCGCCTGACGAGCCATCATATTTAGGAATTCATTAAATTCAATTGTACCATTACTATCGAGATCAACTTCGTTCATCATTTCTTGTAACTCGGTTTGGGTAGGGTTTTGACCAAGTGATTTCATAACATCTCTAAGTTCCTTAATTGTAATAACTCCATCTTTATCTTTATCAAATAGTGAAAAAGCCGCTTGATATTCGCTAATTTGTTCTTCGGTAAGTTGGTTATTGTCCTATCATTACATTATTAAAAATAGTAAGAATGCAAAAGCCGGCGAAAATTATGTAGAGATGTGAATAGATTCTTAAAAAATTGTCGTTTTCAACTAGTCTTTGGTTAATAAGTCACAGAACAGTAAATTTGTATTTATTAGAGTTTGTTAATATTTGTATTTGATTTCAAGTAATTTAAAAAGATCCAACTAAACTATTTGATCTCTAAACTACCTGAAAAAAATAACCTTTTTTAAAATATACTAACTGTAGTTATAAAGAATTTAATTTTCTACAACTTTATTTATTAACCAAAGACTAATTTAATTTGCTCAAAATCAGTTCACATTTACCGCAGGACCAATTCATATTCCTAAAATTATGTTTCGTTTACAATGAATATTTTAAGTGTTTACATCCAAAGGAAGTACTAAAACATTCAACAAATGTTTTCGGTTTTCCCTTTATTAAATGTAAACACTCTTAAAGTTCGTTAACAACTTACCATGGTAAAAGCTGTTTAAAATAGTTATAGGAAGAAAAATTGTTCGATAAGCGTTACATATGTCAAAAACTCTTTTAAGTGCGGCTAAAAACCCAAAATGTTAGTTGTGTTGCATTAAATTTTAGTTAGATCTTGTAATTATTTGGTGATATGTAACGCCTTTGTGCAGAAGATCTACAAATACGTAATGATACGTAGCGATTTGTAATAAAACTTGAAAAAGGGAAAAATGAATAAGAGATACGTACGTAGAAATTGTACAATGCTAGTGTTCATTGTTGTTTTAGAATACGAAAGAATTCAAACGTGTATTAACATATATTTTTATTGGTTTTTTAAACCTAGACTTGTAATATGTTTTTATGTATACCTGTATTTTTTCTTTTCGGATATTTTATAGGGAAGATGAATTGATAATTTCTGACCATAATGCAAAAAATTTATACTGTAAATTTATGTAACTTGAGACATGTTTAACTCTTCAATATATTGCTCATTCTTTAAACAAAAGTGAAATACTTATGAAACAGGACTGAGCAAAGCAGGCTCAAACTAAAGAAAAAAAATGGTTATAATGTTATGATATAAAAAAATATAGAACCGGGTTTGAAAAGATGCGGACCAAAAAAATTATTATAAGTTATAAAATCTGAGACAACTAAAAAATTTTTTTAGATAGTCAAATCTAAAAAAAAAAATTATTGAAAATATAAGACCAATTAACTATACTTTTATAATTTATACAAAATTTGTCTTATTTATTGGTTCTGTTTGATTGAAAAAAAAGCAATTTAAAATCCTAAAAAATTACTTTTTAAAAAAATTAATTAAGTAAAAAAATATTAATAATTGGTATTTCATCGTCTGCTATATATAATTATTTTAAACAGTGCGACGAAGTCGCCCACATGTACAATTTCTGGTTGATTAAATTAATTTTATTAAGAATTTCGTCAATCACTAGGAGGACAAAGTTTGTTAGATGAAACAATTGGTGAAACCATTTCATCATTACAAAAATAGTTTTGTCAGAATTATTGATGTCTATCATATCTCGATGACTTATTAAAGGAAACTTACTAAAGCATGCTTTCTCAATCAAAATCAAAATCAATAAGGAAGTATTAAGGATAAAACAAGTATTAGTAATATAAATGCTGATAACCTAAAATTGTAGATGTAGAGATACATAATAATATCGATTCACTAGTATACTTTTTACGTCTTATAATCCAAGAAATAGTACTGAAATTTTCTGAAGAAACATATCATCTTATAATCATTTCACTGTTACTTTCAGTCAGGAAGTCTCAAACGTGTAAGAAATGATTTCTAATTGTGGAATTCGAGGTTTATTTTATTAAATCATGTCTCATATTTGTTAATCATTTAGCTCAGGGCGGTAAATGAATTCAAACGGATCTTAAATATCGATAAAGCAACTCTTGATGATCTAGAATGAAATAAGGGACAGAAAAGTTATCATCAATATTAGAGAAATTATTGCATAATACTTGAATTTTGCGTATAATAGTAACAGCAGAAAAAAATATCTCAAAAATGTACAATACTCACACCTTTCAGATGTGGTTGCAAAGTTCTTAAAAGATGAATTCTCACGATCAATAAACATATTAGTAGAGATAAAAGTTCATCTTGTGTCCGCTCCAAATTCATATTAAAATCATGTTGAGTATTTTTATATCTTATTTTCGGTATAAAATTATATAAAAGCATGCTTGAGATTCAATCAGAAAAAAAAAACTTAGCAAGTTCTAAAGGGCATAGCCAGTTAATCTTGCAATAAACTTATTCTAAACTTCAAAACTGTTATTAGTTATAAAGGTATTGCTCAGAACGCGGTTAAGGTTGAATCAACTTTGTCAAATCATAAGCATAAGGATACGATGGTGGAAGAAAGATTGTGAACAGAAATTGTTATAGATGCGAAAGATCAGAATGTTCTTATGACACTGTATAAAAGTAAAGTCGAAAGAGCTCTTGGGTACACAGTAATTCTTGATATAACGTATTTCTTGGGCAATTAGATAGAAATTAACTAAAATCCACAATATTATGATTTTATTGATGAATTCATTATGTCGTACAGAATTTTTTATAGTGTGAACTAAACCTTGGACCGTTGTATCAAGAATATTTATGAACCTATTTTTTTTGAAATTATTTTATTTTATTAATAAAAATCAAACATAATAATATATAAATTATTCATTAAAATACACAAAATATATTATATGACAGATAAGTTAAATCTTTACATTTACGTAAACACTTTATATTTGAATGATTCTAAAAGTTCTAAAGAATTTTCTGAACTACATTTGTGGCTTGTAGAATATTCTAAGAATTCTAAAAATTTTCCGATCTGCATTCCTAGTTGGTAGGAAAAAAAGGAATATTCTGTTACACTTTTATTCAATTCTCCGTGCGCTTTTATTGGATTAACGTTAAATAATTGTCAGTATATATGACCGAAGCTGTAAATTAGGGGGTTCTGATTCAAAATATAAATTCTACCAAACCACTTGTCATCAACATTAGATCTAAATCCTAATATAAATATGAGAAAAAAAAACCAAAAATTTATCCCAAAAAATACTGAAAATTTATATTAAAATATTAAAATTTTCAGGTTCAGCTACGACAATAATTGACAACTACAAGTATAAAATTATAGCTCGTGTTTTCAGACAAGTTAGAACTAAAATTTTATCATTTTCAATTGAAATCCTTCCGAATAGCGATAATATTTTATTTAAAATTACTCATGGACATAATTAATGCCATCGATAATAATTTATCAACTTCACACAGAAAAAATAAGGTCACCAAAAATAGAAATCCTTTAATTAAAAAGTGCAATAAATGTAAGAGGTCAAAACTTCATGATAATAAGAATGCTCAGCAATGTAATTTTTGCAATCAGATAATGTTAAGTGGAAATAAATTTATTGATAATTGGCTTACTAAACTAAATAAACAAAAGGTTTTTATAGAATTTATTCCGTATGAACAATTTAAAGATATCATTTATCTTTCTGAGGGAGGATTTAGTAAAATATACAAAGCGACATGTGTTAATGGTATAAGAACGGAATGGAATAGTCGGAAGCGAAGATTTACAAAAGCTATTAGCAATGAAACAGTTGTTCTTAAAAGCCTTAATAGTTCTGAAGCTATAAGTAATGATTTTTTAAATGAGGTTCGCATTCTTATATAATTATATTGATATTATTCACATAACTTATTATTGTTAGTTAACTTTTTTTGTTAATCTTAGTTAAAAAATTATTTTCAATGTTCAAGTCGTATTTATATAATCCAATATTACGGCATCACACAGCATCCCGAAACAAAAGATTACATGATTGTAATGGCCTTTGCAGAAAATGGTGATTTATATAATTATATTTCAAAAAATTCTCTTACTATATCTTGGGGCCAAAAACTAGGGGCGTTAAGATATATAGCATGGGGACTCAATATAATTCATGATAAAAAGATTATTCATCGAGATCTTCATAGTGGTAATATACTTATTAAAGATATAAATAATTTTGATTTTGGTGTAAGGATAGGAGATTTTGGAATAAGCAAACCAGCAAATGAGATAACAGATACAAAAGAGATATATGGAGTGATTCCATATATTGCACCAGAGATATTTAATGGAGAAAAGTATACGACAGCATCAGATATTTACAGTTTTGGAATGATTATGTGGGAAATGATAACTGGTCAAAAGCCTTTTTCTGATCGTAATCATGATGAATATCTTATTTTTGATATTCTTAATGGTCTTCGTCCTGAAATAATTAACGATTTACCACAGCCTTATATTGATATAATGGAAAAATGTTGGGACGCAAATCCGTTAAACAGACCAAGTGCTGAAGATATTTGGATATCTATTAGTAATATTAAGAATAAATTAGATAGAGAAAAAATAAAGTTTCCGGAAAACATAACGCAAAAACATATTAAAAAAATGAATCCGCAAGCGATATATACTAGTAGATCACTAAGTTCTTTAGTTAACACTGCTCTGGGTGGTGCTCATTTCGCCGACAATCACTTCAACGACAGCCTATTTCACCGACAGTCAATTCGCCGACAAGTTTATTTCACCGACAGTCATTTCACCGACAGTCATCTCACCGACAAAGTAATTCTGGTCATTTTCGTTAGGGTCAGTTGGAATTAGAGTTAATGTTAGTGCAACTTTAAAAAAAACCTTGTCGGTGAAATGGGTTGTCGGTGAAATAGTTGTCGGTGAAATAAGCTTGTCGGCGAATTGATTGTCGGTGAAATGGGATGTCGGTGAATTGATTGTCGGTGAAATGACACGTACCCCACTGCTCTCCGGATGAAATTAAATTATAATACTCTTACAGGTATGTTTGATAAAATTACTACTATGGTTTTCTTTTTTTTAATTTTAATATATGCACGAGCTTACTTAAATATATTATTTACAAATATATAGATTATTCTATTTTATCAAGTGTCTATTCAATAAACAACAGTAAAACAGGTATGATTATTGTATTAATAATTTATTTTTATAAATCAAAAAATAACTCTTTATAAAACGTTTTTAGAAGTTTCATTCAATTTTATTGACGACAAAAAGTATAATAATGATATTTACATTCTAATTTTTCTTGTGCATTTAGTTATTAATATATCTTACTTATTTATATTAAATAATAATGATAATAGAAATAATGAAATAAAAACATCAACCCAGAATAAACAATTATCGAAAATGGACTTAAGTTTTCTATGCAGCA